GAAAGACTATAGTTAGACATAATATGTTATATAAATAAATATAAATAATATAGATACAGATATAAGAATAATAACATAGTTAAGTTCCAGATTAACTTGAAATATACATACGTAATATAATAGTATTCAATTACAAATTGATTTAATAATTAAAACAAAAATTTTAAGTTAAAGATTAGAAATTAGAAAATAACCAATTATACACTATTTTTCTCTTATCAAACAAACCGGTGTGAATATTTTTCTTTGAGGTGAGCGGCATTTGGTTGAAAAAATTAGGACCCAAATAGTCGACAAAGGATTGGCCAAAAGATTTTTAGCATACTTAAAGGGCAGATCATAAGCTCTATGCTCTCTAATTTTAGTTAAATTTATTAGATTACTTTGAGATGTAATGAGTTTATTAATAACAAATATTAGAGCGATTTTTTTATATAGCAGTCTTATTGGTAATACACCTAACAATTTATAATTTTGATTAGATGAGCCCTCTAACGTTTTTTTATTTAAGATAATTCTTACAATACAATTTTGATTAAGTTGTAAATTTTTTAAATTATTATCTTTGACTTTTTGTTATCTTTTGTATACATGCTTATATAGTTATGGAGTTTAAATTGATCAAATAAATTATAAAAAAGGCTTCATATTTGTAATAATGTATTATACACTATTATTTTATTTGTTGATAAGTACAAAAAAAAACTTATGAAGTTAATTAGTACTTGAAGATTTTTATTTGAGATTTATCGAAATTTCTTAGTGGTTCTCGAATATAAAAAGGCTGGGAACCACTGAACTAAATTATATTATTATATTTATAATTTGTAAGGGGATTGTGGTTTTATTTCTTACTCGCAGAAATCAAAACTTGAATTGTCGTTAAAAAAATATAAAAATGAATAGAAACTTCTACGTTATAATACAACTTATGATTAATACAATATAATTAATATATGCTATGTCATATGAATATATGATACATGATGTGATGAGGTCTGAAGTTACAACTTGTGTAGCAATTGAAATGTGCGGTGCAATGAGCACCACTTGTAGAGTTCTGAATAAGTCTCATTTATTTTTAATTAAAAAAAATCTGTCATTTTAAAAAAAATATTTTTCTTCAGGTTAATTCAATTAAATTACATGTTACTATTTAAGAACACTTAAGTCAATAAGTGATAGGAAGTGACAAAATAAAGCTATACAACGTATACAGTTTAGAATTGAACTTAACAATATTATATTGTATCTTAAATTGTCCTGAAAATGTGAGCTATTCAGTACACAATTAGCATTAACCAGTAAAAAGTCCATTTGTGTGCCTGTGTTGTGTTACTTAACAAATTATTCACTATTATTTTATGAATAATATATTAGGGTAGTAATAATATTATGTATGTTATAAACGTAGTAATTTCAATAAAATACAAAATATGTACCTACAAATTATCAAATTATTATCTTTCAAGGTCCCCACGTCAGTTTGGCTTTCTGGATTTTTCAATCCACAATCGTTTTTGACGGCAATTATGCAGAGTACTGCGAGAAAACACGAATTGCCTCTCGACAAAATGTGTCTCCAGTGTGATGTGACGAAAAAGCACAAAGAAGAGTTCAGGTAAGTAATTCAGACCAATAATAATAATTATTATACTCGACACTCGAATATATTAAATACAATTGTCGGCCAATGACAAACATAGGTATAGTTTCTGTGGGCTTACCAATGACGATTTTTTAGTGGAGCTGCCAGAGACGGTGCTTACATTCATGGGCTTTTCATGGAAGGCGCTCGATGGGATGTAATGCAAGGGGTCATAATGGAATCTAAACTCAAAGAGTTATTCCCTCAAATGCCGGTGATTAATGTCCGAGTAAGTGCATAAATATTAAATACGTTTTAAATACATTTAACAGACAATTCTAGAGATGTGAGTTTGTATTAAATACAGTGGTTTAAAATAATTGTACTATACAAGGTATTCTACATCTACACATGGTATAAAAATAAACTTCATACAAGTTGTACAGAAAAAAGATATACATTAGGTAGTTGATAACATTAAAAAATTTATTTGATATATTTTAAGAACATAATTTACTATGAATTATAACCAGGTATTATTGTTTTAAGTAAAAATAATTTCCAATCACTATAGGTAGCTATTGGTAGCATTACTTTAAATATTAATTTACTCAAAAATAATTCTTGTATTAATGTAGTTTTTGAAATGTATTCTGAAATTATTATGCCATTTTAAAATTGGTCATAATATTTACAATATTTGTGTAACTTGTCACATGCATATTGTATTCAATGTATGATAATTGATTCAAGTTACGGCAAGGTCTTAAGCGGTATACCTTTAACGATATAATACGGTAGGTATTATAAATTTATACAAACAAAAAATAAAATGCTGTATTTTAAATTCTCTAGACCATTCATAAATATGTACATGTATAACTTATAGTTACGGATTTACGGTTAAAACGACGTACGTATCCACCAGCAATAGATTGTTTTGATGACGTTCAGAAATATATTGTGTATAATCCATACATATTTTAAATGAGCATTTTTTCTTATACCATTTATTATCCATTTGTTATGTTGAACTTGCAGGCGATTACACAGGACAAACAAGATTCGAGAAACGTTTATGAGTGTCCAGTGTACAAAACTAGAACGAGAGGGCCGACGTATGTGTGGACTTTTAGTCTTAAAAGCAAAGATAAATCATCCAAATGGACATTAGCCGGAGTGGCACTTTTGTTACAGTTATAATTTATATCGATATCTATACATATATTATAGCCATAGTTGGTCACTTGAAACTTAAAATACCACGAACTCGTTAACTACACTTAAATTATTATTTTTGTTGACACCTGATCATATAACAAAAATTATGTTATATTTGGTTATTTATTTTGGAGTGAATACATAATAATAAATAATAATGTTATGTGACATTGGACAAATTTAGTAATAGTAGTAAATTCATACTTTACCTTCAGTTTAATCTAGATAAAAATCAATCAAGCGGGTTGTGTTGTAACTGGTAACAATTATTTGTTGGCTATATCAAACTGGAGGATCATTAATTGTAATTTCAAACGAATCATGCAGAGGCAAGTATAACATATAGTCATCATCAATAAAATATATGAATTTGATTCTTATAAGCAGGGATTGGAATTATATGCTATAAAACATCAATCAAAGACCATGTTTTGTATAAATATACCTATCCTTAAAACTAAGAAACATATATCTACTTAAAAAATGGCGAATCAATAATATACCTGTTGACCAAAACAACGTATTAGTAGGTATTAATATAGTACCTAGGTATTATTTATAATTATTTTAGTTTAGTTTTTTTAAGAACGGTTCATATAAAGTGTAACATAAATAGTTTTATTTTATGATGTATCAATTCATATGTCTTTATACTATAATATAGATACGAAATTAATAATTTTTGAATTACAACAAAAAAAACTAACTGTTTGATGAGTTATTGTTGTTTTACGCTTGAATATCCAACTCCATCAAAATTTAAAATTTAAACGATCATAAAAAATATTAGTGCTACTAAAGTTCACTGCCTTAGGTACATTAAAAATTATATGCATTTTTAAATAAACAGTAGTTACTGCGATAATGACAATTTCGACAAATTTCTTACTTCACTAGGCTCATTTTTTTTTAAAATTCTAGTGTTAACTAATGAATAATGACGAGAACAAAATTATAAAGCTAACTCATCCATTATAGATTTTTTTATCGATATTTATAGAAAAAAAAACTAATTCAAATATGTCTAGCTATATAAAACCGAATGCATTTATTGATATTTTTACAATTTTTGAAAAATTTGAAAATTCTCGGAAAAAGATAACTATTAGTTTTGTTTTATAAACATCGTAGATAATTATTACAACAATTACTTCTCTGTTTCAATGTCACTAATATTTTTCTAATGGGTTAATAAATATTTTATTAAATACTTCCAACAAAATACTAACAACACATTATAGTTCACCTTTTATAATGAACGATAGGGTAATAATATTATTTTTAACTATCTTTGTCATACATTGTATCATATCCATATTATATAATATTGTAAAAATGAATTCCATCAATGAAATTTAAATTAATTTATAAATATTTACAATCATATAAATATATTATTATAAACAGGTATATTATGTTAAGTGTTGAACCTGAATATGCTACATTAATGTTAATGCTCGAAAAACAACGATCTAGTCTTAATTTTTTTAAATAAATTCTATATTCTTAAACTTGGGTACTATAGGCAGTTTTTTCTTATGAAAAAAAAAGTAAAGAGCCTATAAATTAACCATTTTATAAGTTATTGAAATTTAAAATAAATAAAATGAGAAATGAATGCAGAAAATAAAAGCTTAGAATAATTATACTCTAGTCAATAGAATTAAACTAATAAAAAATACGTACCAACTACCAACTATAAATTAAATATATGCAAACAGCATGCATAGGTAATATTATAATTTTCATATAGGATGGTTTTATCGTTGATTCGCCTGCACGCCCTACAGGTTACGTTAAGTTGTCGAGCTCATAAGATTACCGATTTTCTTAAATATACAAAATACATTTTTAAACAATTAATACAATATTTAATTTATTGTGATAAGAAAATAATAAGTTAATGGTATCTAATGAAACAATTAACTATAAATCTGTATTTATATGATTTATTATAATAAAATTTAAAAAAAAATACATAAAAAGAATACGTTGAATAGTGATGATATTAATAATTAATGATAAGCGCATTGGAAGTTATAATATTTTGATGTTTATAACGGAATATAGTAACTTATCATGAACAAAAAAATACATAATAATATATAAACGCCTAAGAAAAACTAAGTGCGTATAACGTAATAAATAAACACTGAAACGTCATTTCTAAGTGGACCACCTTCTGTTTAATATTGTACGATGGAACGCAAGCCTTGAGTCTTTGAACAATTCATTTTCGTACAATACAACCAATACAGGATAATATTATGATAATAAGGATATAATTTAAGGCATGTACAACGGTCGGTCAGTATACGGTGTTATGTTGACGTATTGCACGGGTTGAAACCTTTTCGGTGACGTTATGCGTAATAAATAATCATAGTATATTATATTATGATAACAATAATTATTGCAATAATAATAATAGTAATAATAATAATATAAATAATTTTAATAATAATAATAATATTTAAAAAAAACACCTCAGTAACTATGTGTTAAACAGAATAACAATGTTACTGGGAAAAGTAAGAGTACTACTTGTTGACTTTTCCTTCCATAAATGGAGTATTCGGAAGACGATAGACGTAAAGTGTACCGGTTTGAGAGGACGATTGGTCAGCGGCGTTTATGCGGTTTCCAAGATCGCCATTTCCGCTGCTATCTATGTATGGAACCAAGTTGCTGTCGGATACCTTGGGACAACAATTTACGTTGTAACTGCCACACGGTCTCGGGTGGGCGGAGGGCTTGTTGTTTATGATCTTGCACATTTGATTGAACATGCAAATGCCAGTCGAACCATTGCTCATGACGCACGATTCACCTATACATAAAAAAAACCAATAAATCTGTTACATCAATATTACTATGCCGACTTGAATGAGCAATCACAAAATATTTAACGAATCAATAGTGAGCTAATGGTCCCTTAAGCATGATTTAGTGACCCATGGTTGATTTTTTAAATTAATTCATTTTTCATACAGCTTGGCATTGTATACAATATTGTACATTATTTCGATAGATCCGTGATGGCCAGGCATTGAAATATACCTCATCAAAATCTCACCCTGGAGTTTTTAAACATAACAATATGTTATTTACCCTCTTAGTGGTTCGTTGTGTAATCTCACAAAATCAACATTTTGATTTGTGAGTTTTACTGTTGGGGATCGACATGTCTTTTTATACGAAATTAAAACAACGGTGGTCGTATACTTCTTCAACAGTTGGCAGTTTGGGACATTTGTCGAGAAACCAAAGAGTACTTTATTTTCTGTGTATACCTTATCGGTTGGAAAAATTCTTACTACCTACCATTGATTCAACAATTTATTAGGCCGGGTTCAATAATATATTTAGACTTTTGGACAATAATATTCAGGAGGTAGGTTATCATTATGGAGGTCTCTGAAAGTCACAACCAAAATGTAGGGAGAATGTGAGGTGCTTCAAAATGTGAGATCAAATGATATTATGGTGGTACTACTCGAAATTTATTTTTTTTAATATACGATAATTAAAGATAAGAACATATGAACGGTCCTAATTACAGTAATTGTATGCCACAGTGATGCGATAACAGACTAATTTTTCCATATACCAACACACACACACCGGCATCATTGAGTAACTTACCACATAAGTCTTCGCACATTTCTCTGGTAGTAGGCAAGTCTTCGTTTTCAATGCAAACATTTCCACCCTTCGCAGAGTACAGAGGTCGGCATGATTTGAACATCGAGTGGTAGAACCATCCAGACAATTCCCAGTCCAAAATTGGGTACACGGAAGTGTTGCAATTGTGTGTCGTCGGGTGGTGGCATCTGGGACCTTAAAAAAAAACATTCCAAAATTAGGTTATTATATTTGTCTTCAATGCCTAATAGCTAGGACTTAGGAGGATAGGATTGATAATGATTGAACCTTTTCTATTCAATTTTCAAAGTTGTATTCACCAAAAATCTATTTGACGTTGAAAAATAAGCGTTTTTTAAGTTAAAGTTCAGCGTGTCATCAGAAAAAAACAATTTAACCTGCCGTATGACTAATATGTAATAAAATAAATTACGAATCAACATAAATCAGAAATAAACTTAGTTGAAGAAATAATCAGAATCGTTTTTCTTATACAATGATTCAACATTGAATTCAAGTTTAACATATCCATTACAGTGACCTACTCAATGACAAAGTACACCCAACTGTACAGCATAGTGTTTAGGATACTTGTTTACTTTTTTTCGATTATTTTTAAAGCACTGTGAATTTTTCTTTTAACTCCCAAAAGTACCAACTAGATCCAATTTTCTATTAAAAATCGTCCTCGAAACTGATGGTTGAACATAGATACAAAAAAAAACACACATCAATAAAACCAATATATTCGTCGTTCTGTTCATCAGAATCTAAAAATATTGTCCAAGTTATAGGTTACTATATCCGTCTCGGATAGGTGTGGTAAATGGAAGTAAGAAATAATATTATGATTTTAATATTTCACCACAAGGTATAATTTCAAAACAATTAGAACTTTTTCTGTTTGTATAAAATAGAAAAAATGTATGTTTTATATATATAATATATTTTTTCAGTCGATGAGTGATGACTCGCCTTCAAATTAGAATTTTATCCAATGACTTTTTATTGCTCGAGTTGGAGATACATTTAAATATATATAAATAATATATATTCTTGTTTTGGTCCTGTAATTTTTTCGGAAAAAATGGGAAGCTTTTAGAGATGAATTTTCAGCCCAAACATTAGAATCAAACCGTCAGAGTGTTAGCCATCATAAAGTCTATAATATGACGTTTTGAATGAAAATATACGTCCATATACATTTTCCTCCATCTTGAAACAGCTTGTCTATTCTAAATTCTGTTTGTATACTACCTACATCTTACCAGGTGATCCAAATACAATGTGTATAGTAACGATTAAAAAATAAATGATCACACTCTGGCAATTTATAATAAAGTGAATAACAGATTAAATAAAGATCTAAACATTTAATTCTAGTGAGACAAAACGTGGCTAGTGTTCAAACTTCAAATGACTTAAAAATATTTTAATATTTAATTTGAAACAATATTCATGTTCCAATATAAGTACGTAGATAAACCCTTGGAAACTTGACCATTATTATAATAAATAATAATGATTCCAGAAATAATGTAAAAGTATTATATTATACATAATTGTTCTCAGTATAAGATTAGCATAATTAATAGGTATTACGTGCAGCTATGTTCAAAGAATATAATTATTAACGATATAAGTACCTGGTATACATATAAAACGTGATAAAGTACACAAAGTAGGCAATCAATAATCATTATACAAGTAAAAATAACATTGGAATAATAAAAAATACAACCCACAACTTCTTGTAATCACAATGGAAATATTATAATAGAGTAATACTATGATATAATCAAAATAATATTTAAAAAAATTAAGAACATTAAACAATTCAAAATTATGAATTAACTGCAATGGCTTACGCATTTTAAAAGCTAAACATATTGATAACCTAGTTATAGTTTACAACCAAGTTAAAATTAACATACTGTTTCAATTGACAATACAATATACACTCAAAAATTACAATCACTTCAAATCTGAACCGTCGATCGTGTTTCTAAAGAGATTGTTACACACTAACAACATGGTTACACGTGATAAAATAGATAAAAATTAAATTATAAAGTCAATAATGCAATGTTAAGTATTAAACAGATAGCCGAGTGTCAGTAGATAGGTACATGCTTAAAAACAAAATAAAATCATCAAATTACATAGTATTTTTTATAAAATCAATTATAGTAAACACTAATAAAACATGACGACCCTGATCGAAGCACTTCAGCGAGTGTAAGATTATAAGATATTTAACAATGTACAGACAAATAGATTTATGTACGCCAGCTTAATGTGGGGAGTATAATACATTTAAGATACATGGCCCAATGATACTACTCAATAAAATTGTTCAGATTAAATATATAATATTATTATCATGAATTAAATATATTAAGAATAACATTGTTTTGTAGAGCATTTGATATAAATGAATAATTTTCATTTCTTAGAAAAACAAATCAATTTTAAAATTTTCCATAAAATTTGAACGAACTGATTTATTAACAAATATTATGTAACTTCAAAATGTATAATTATAACTATTGAATTCAATGCGAGAAGAGTCATTTAAGAATCATTTAAGATCTTATGACTCTCAGTTTAAGACTGAATAATACTTTTATTACAGTAAATATAAATCAAATATAATAATCATAATAATTATATTGTTTTTTAGCTCAATTATCATAAACGAATGATCCGTATAAACGTCTTTGCTTGACGCCATACTAAATTTGAATTATCCCCCCTTGAGTCATAATCATGGGCACCGATAAAAGATTAGAAGAGGTACTTTTGCTAGCCCGCAAAAATATTATTTTTGAAAAAAAATTAATTTACAGAATGGAAGGTTATTTGTAGATAATCATTTTTTGCTACCCCAGAATTTCGATAGAAATATTCAACAATCATCAATATTATATGCAATTGGACGGTAGATAGCCAGTATTAGATAGCCGACATTCTTGGAGTCGGAGCTTACCGAACGTGCCCTAACGAACGTCAAATATTGGATCCCTCGCAGGAATAATCGTATGTTCCTACACAAGAGTAGTAGGTGAACAATTAACTATAGAAATATACTAACAACTACACGTCATAATATACAAATATACAATATATTATCGAATTATTATACATATACTTGAACACTTATGAGTGGAACAATTTATATAAAATGATTAATTCTGACATATTAATATTAATCAGAACAACTTAGAAATCAATTACAAAATAAATAATCTTGTTTTATATCCTTTTTTATTTATTAAACTCACTATCTTGCATTGCTAAAGACATTGATTGAAATAGATAATAAACAATAGTTTTATAAAAAATATATCTTAATCCATGGTCGCTAGTTATTATGAATTATGACTACTTAAGCACTGTATTAGCTACCTAGTTACATCTTAGTCACTGCTGTAACCAATATTAATGATAACTTCAGATTTCCATGATAATAAATTATTTCCAGGAAACAATGCATAAAATAATTGATATTACAATATAATCATTACATTACTATTACATTTATAACCATCGGAAAATATTAATTATTACTAATATTTTAGTAGTATTATGGATCAGTGAAGATCTTAATATTTACAACATTATGACAAAATTCAGAACCTTTTACTTTTTATAACATAAGTACATTTTATGTGGTACACCGGACAGATATTAACTACGTATGAATATTACACAATATACAGCATTACAACCATACAGGGGTAATACGTATTACTTAATACAATAATACCCACCATAATATAGAAACAGTCGTCTAGAATCCACTGATATAAAAATAAAAATTAGTGATGATATAAATATGTAGTGTTGCCATATTAGATAATATACCTACCAAAGCTGGACATTGATGAGTTAAAAAGTTAGATGACTTAAATTACTTTTAACCTAGTTAATTTTTTTTAAGTGACAACTTCACGAATTGAAATTTGTTTCATGATATGCAGCTAGTGCTACAAATCAATCAAATCATGTCATAATTATGTTAAGTTTTTACCCTGATATGAACCCCATAATTTAAAAAAAATATATTTTATTTTGTACAAAGTAGAAATGTTGTAACGGAAAATACTTGGAAATATTATTTAGAAAGTTAAGTCATGTAGGTACCCAGTACATATTGTGAATACTAAATAACGAACCTATGTAAATACAACTATTCAAGTACTAAGTATTACAACCGTATACTTAAATTTATGTATAAAATAAATAACAAAATAAGTTAACTTACCTAGTGTTGAATACTAGATATTATACACTAAGTAAATATTTTATCATGGAGGTAACAATGTATTATAACTATTTATAAGGTATACATTTTTGTAGTATTATAATTTTTCATTTAGAAAATATTAATGAACTTTAAACAATTATCAAAATTCAAAAGATTAAGTGTGGCAATTTCATATGTAAAATATCCAAGTTCAGAAGAACGTAATAGTAAAACTATCCTTACAACCTTTGGGAGGCATTAGGAGTACAATATAAAATCTAATAACTGTTTTTGACTAGGGCTGGGATTTTAATTACCTAATAAAACCCTAAAAATTCTGAATAATGCACTAGGTACATTTTTTTTTTATTTTGATAATTTTGATAAATTTGAACGATAATATAAATTTAGCATGAATTACAATATTTATTAAAAGGATTGGAAAAAACGTTTTTCAATTTTACTGATCACTTTGGACTTCTTAAATACGAAAAAACAATTAAGTTCCTATTTTAGTATTTCCATTAATAATTTGTTTTATATTATAGGCTTGTAATGTTGAGATTATATATATATTATACTTACTTGTACGTACGTCGTACATAGTAAGTATGTTAGATGCATATTAAAATCAAGAAAAACTGTGTAAACATCTTAAATACAAATTTTGAATTCAATAGCTTCAAAAATGCACCAAAAATCCAAATACTATAAAAATGAAAAAATTACCTTAAAATTTGAATCGTTAAAAAATGTAAAATAAAAACTTGTTCTTATTCAAAAATACATAAATCATGGATGTTATATTTAAAATGAGCATAATGAAGCTTCGAAAATCAATGCAAAGTGCATCGAAGTATCAGCCTGAATAATGATTAATTTTGTGAGATCTGATTGTGCAAAATCTTTTTTGTTATTATGCCCACTGACTGAATAAGTTATAATT